TTTCCAATTTTGGTAAAATAAAAATATCCCTCACAACTATTGTATCTTTGACAAGAAACCCAAAGTCGCGCCATTGCATCGATAGGAAAAGTTGGAAATATAATATCAAGACTTACTTCGGATGTTTATTCTACTCCCTGTTGCTATTTTTAGGTCCAATTTCTTTTTGATACTTACTTAATGTGCCCCACAAACCACAAAAACAGAACCATGTAAAATCTCTATATTAGGATTATGCTTTGACGATAGATCTTAAGCCAATTCTAACGTTTGAAAGCAGCAGGAGGACGTTTAGATAAATAGCTCAATGGCGGCAATGGCAGCCCTGCTTCAACATAATAGTCGATGGAATAGTAGTGTTCGATATGTTAATTTCAATGTCGAAAAAATTGTGATAAACTCGGAGTGAAGTTACAACGCATTACTTTCAGCCATTACAGAGCATCTATCAATTGATATACAATTACAATTTTTATACATTATTTCTATCCAGTTATATACAGCTACAATATCATACCACTTAAATACAATTTTATATAAATTTTATATAATATGTCTTTTGTATATTTTGTATCTGATTTATACATAGTAAAAACAAATTTCATTCAACTAATTATATATTATACAACTTATCTATAATTTTATACATTATTTCTACTCAGTTATATACAAATACAATATCATACAACTTAAATATAGTTTTTATACAATATTGTTCAACTTTCATACAATAGTTAAATAAATAAAAATATATAAACAACATAATAAAAATTTTCTACAATTTCGTAAACATAATGTATATCACGTCTTCTTCTTCTTCTTCTTCTTCTTCTTCTTCTTCTTCTTCTTCTTCTTCTTCTTCTTCTTCTTCGAGTTTCAATCTGAAATTCAGCCAAAATCAAGTCTAATCTTCACCAAAACACCCTCAATATTGAGATATAAACTTCAAACCATATTCCCAATTGTTTGCAACAACACCCAATCCAAACAAATAATGATTTTTGAAAACCCAAATTCGAATTGAAAGCTTCAAAGCTTTTTAATGGCGGTCAATGGTGGAATTGCTGCTCTCTTTTCCTTTGCTTTACATTACTGAAAATAGGGGTTGAGAGATAGAGAGACGTAGAGAGAATCCCAATTCTTTGCAACAACAGCCAATTCAAACAAATAACATTTTTCGAAAACCCAAATTCGAATTAAAGGGAAACAAACGAAATAATTTTGCTGAGAAAGCACCCAAATCAAATGAAGGAATATCTACTCCTTTGACATATCTACTCCTTTGACTTTTGTAGGGCTGTTCTTTGAAGATATCTTCTTCTTCATTGAAAATCAAGCTAATCAGAGACGTTAATAGAGGTAGGAATATTGAATAAGAGTAAAAATTTCGTCTGGTTTTTGAAGAAGAGATGAAATAGGCGTTAATGGAGGATTTCAGAGATTTGTGAAGAAAAAATAGTGGGTGAGTGCAAGATACGTGGGTGAGGGGTGGGATGTGGAGAGAGAAACGTGGAGGGGAGGGGGGGGGGGATATACAGTAGAGTTATTTTAGGACACTAATTAATATCATTAATTCCCTTAAAATGTACATAAATAGTAATTGAGTATATAAAATATAATTTTACTAAAAATTGAGTATGGAGGGTAATATAGTTTCATATAGTGTATAGGAATGTAAAAATCTCAAAAATTTAAGGGTGTATGCAAGAAAGGCGAAAGGGATAGTTTCAGTGCCGGATCCAGAATTTTCATCAAGGGGTATTAAAATATAAATAATTAACTACATAGAAAAGTCAAGGGGAGTCAACATATAGTAAATATACATAAGATAAAAAAAATTATCCAGCAAAATAGTATAATTTTCCAGCGAAGGGGTGTCGCACCTGAGATCTTTCTACAGATAGTCTGGGTGGATGACACCCCTTGCTTTAATGTGGCTCCGCCACTGGATAGTTTAACGCTGTTATTTAAAGTTTGTTTTGGTTTTCTAAAATTTATACAACTATGGAGTATGTTAAGTGTAACTAAATAGTTTTGACTAAAATAGTACCCTCTAACTGAAAATAGCGAAGGTAACCTCATGGATCTGGTATTGACTAAGTTTTCCCCCATTGTTTCACCACTTTTTTGTTGAATTCATGCTTTAGGATTCGTCGTATCAGTTCGGATATCAGATTCTTTATGTTCTTCAATCTCTATTGAATTTCTATCTCGTTCTTTTAATTGATTAAGTTAACCTCCATTGTTATGCTTGAGTGCATTCGGATCGTATAATTTTTCTTTCTTGTTACGTTTGGTTTACTTACTTGTTAGTACAGATAATATTTACAGTGATTAATGTGTGTCATATATATGGTGTCGGATCACTTTTTTTAATTAATGATCACAGTGATGTAATGCCACGGTCTTACCAAGAAGTCATACCAACTTGGAGATTTTGTATGACTAGTTTCAACTTTAAATATAAAAGGAAAAACTCAACTAACTTTTGGGGTAGGCTCATGATGTTCGGCAAAAAATGCATATATTTAACCATTGTTGTCTCATGTTTTGGTACTTTTAATCGTCTTTTGAGTATTAATTATATTATTTTGTGCTTAATATTATATTTTAACTGTGTAGGAATAAAGTGGTGTGAAGATGAAGAGATTTGGAGCAAAATTGAATTAAACGCAAAAGAAAAAGAAAAGAAATTAAATGAATATAATAAGGGGGACACCCTTTGATTTTTGTCCCCCCAGTTTGAAGACAAGAACAAAGCATACAATTGAAATACAAATGAAGGCAAAAACGTACCTGGAGAAGACAATTGAAAGAGCAGGCGGCAAACTCACTATTTTCAGCGTCAGGACCAGCGCTAGGCGCTGGCCTGGACGCTGTATTACGGGTATTCTCCTATTTTATTCGGTACAAAGTTATTTCGGTTTACATGGTCCCAACTCGTATATAAGGGGTTCTAAACCTAATTTGGAGGATTTAACATACTTTGAAGGGAGTTCACGTGGAGGAACACACACCACGCTTGGAGGAGGCTTCTAACTAGTTTTTCTTCTCTTCTCTTTCTTTAATTTCATAGTTTCTTTGTTCTAGAGTTTTGGGTGCTACATGAACGTTGTAGTTTGAAGCTTGAATTGTTCTTATTATTTTATCATATTGGTTTATTTATTCAATCTTGTGCTTAATTATTTGATTGCTTGATCACCAATTGAATACTATCTACGAATCTAGGATTGAACTCGGGAGAGGGAATTCTAGATTGCATATAAAATTGAGTAGAGCAAGATCTTAACTCTTAGGGGGAGCGGATTTGCGGTTAGGATAGGAATATACCTAATCGCATTGCTTGGTTATTATACGGGAATTATAAATGCGTTCTTGTTAATTCTAATTCCATAGGAATATAGGTGTTAGGTTAGCTTGAATAGGCGAGTTATACTTCGGGAGAAGGCTACGAGTAATATTAACCCCGTCAATCAATAAACTAGATAAATTAATTAGACGATTTAAATGGAAAACTCAACGGGATTGTTAGTTAACCCATAGCTCTAGAGTATTCGCTCACATTGAATTCGTCTTTAAGCTTATCGTTGTTTTCTTTAATCTGTTAATTTGTTACTCTAGATTAATTTTAGTTAAATATTCATACGTTAGGGTTCGCTTGAATAGATTAATTGTTTAGTTTAATTTAGTTGATAGTTAATCACAAGTTCCTGTGGGTACGATATCTGGACTTACAATCCTATATTACTTGTCGATCACGTATACTTGCGTGTGCGTTTGTGAGCAACAACTTATTAACTTTTGCCCTTTATTTGTAAGTTATTCCCTCCGGTCCATAACAAGTGACCAATTTGTCTTGGCACATTCATTAAGGAAATATTAAATTCTAGACAAAAGTAGTTAGTAAGACTAAACTACCCTTAATTAAATGATGCAGCATAATTTAATGTGAGGAGTAAAAGAGTTTTTAGGAATGCGTACATAAGAGTAATTTGAAAAAAATAAATTGAATTTTTTCTTGACTATATAAATAAACACTTATTTTGGACCAAAATAAAAAAGGCAAATTGGTCACTTATTGTGGACCGGAGGGAGTATAAAATTATACTAAAAGAAGGGAAACTTGTAGAACCTTAAATTTTCTTTATTGGCTTAATAAAGCATAATATATATTAGGAGTGCACATAATTGGGTTAGTTCAATTTTTATCGAAACCGAATCACAAAGTTTCACATCTCAGTGATAGATAGTACTATACAATTAGTTTTAACACAAAGTGAACGCACGTGAGTTTTTCTTAAACTAACTGCAAACAACAAAGCAATAGAATATGTGAACACATAGGCTACGTAGAAAGTGTATTAATTGTTTTTAAATAATTTTGCCTCCAGTACGACATTATAGGCCAAAAATATTGGGAGAAATTCAAAAATAGCCAGATTTATCACTGGTCGTTGAAAAATAGCCAAGTTTCAAAAGTCATCGAAATTTAGCCACTTTAAATCTGAGCGAAAACACTGTTCAAAATCGGAAAAATACGCCCGCAAATTTTACGGGAGTTCAACCATAATTATGCTGGAACTCCCGCAAATTTTACGGGAGTTCCAACAAGTATAATTGTCCAGTATAATATACCGGAGTTTGGAGCACTGGTGCTCCAGTCTCCCGCAAATTTTACAGGAGTTAGCAAAGTATACCGGTCCAGCATAATATGCTGGAGTTCGTACACAAATGCACCAGAACTCCCGTATATTATACTGGACCGGTCCCTGTTGCAACAAAATAGTGGCTATTTTTCATTGACCTGATAAACGCTTGCTATTTTTCATTGACCAGTGTGAAAACTGGCTATACCATGATATTTTAACAAAAATATTTTATTTACTGCAACTTCTGCAAATGAAATTCTATTTCATTATAGCAAATCCATTTAATTGTTGGGCCCACTATTCATCTAAACTCCTATAAATTCGTTCCCCTTTACTTTGCTTTACGTACTCACATTTGATTTCAGTTAACAAGTATGGCTATCATATCTGTGAAGGCCCTGGTGCTTACACAACTTTCAGTTCTAGCAGTTTGCTCCTTTTTAGAACAGAGTCATGGAATAGACATTAAAACTTCGTCTCATGCAACTCTTCTGCGTTTTAAGTTTCCACCCGTCCCACGTAAACGTCCTCCACCTAGGCAGCAACCACCACCACGAGTTAAGTCGCCACCACCACCAGTTACGTCACCACCGCCACCGGTTAAGTCTCCACCACCACCACCAGATGCTGAGCAACCACCTCCTCCTCCTCCAGATGCTGAGCAACCACCACCTCCTCCACCAGATGCAGAGCAACCACCACCACCACCAGATGCTGAACAACCACCACCACCGGATGCTCAGCCACCGTCACCATCACCAGACACAGATTATACAGACGCACCATCTCCATCACCAGACGCAGAATATATAGACGCACCATCTCCATCACCGGATTCTCAGGTACCAGTTATGGCACCGACACCACCAGATGCTCGTTTCGTTGGAAATTCACTAATCATGCGTGGCCTTCATTATTAGAGAAAAAATAGTCATGTAGAAGGAAGGAAGAACAACAGTATGGAACGATTAAGTTCGTGTTCGTAAAATCTTTTTCCTTTTCCCTTCTCTAGTTTAAAATGAAAGAAAAATTAATGAAGATCAGATGTTGATTTTCATTCGTACATCCAAATTATTGTGAAACTTACAAAGACTTTGAATAGAAATAAGTAGTAACTATTGACTAATATAGATACAGGGATAATTCTAGAATTGCATCTCTAGATATTGCTTTTCTACCTTTTTTATTTATGACATGATCAGAAAATACATAAACAATGACAACGCGCAAGGATATAATCAGGCTTATCAGAGGAGCAGTTGCATATAAGAAAAATGTTGATTCACGTATTTTACCCCGTGTTTTAAAAGGCATTTGCGAGGTGAGCCCCAAACGAGACACACCAAAAATGCCCCGAAGCAATAAGGGGTCGGGGCAAAAATCTCAAGAGATGTAAGCCCAGTACGCCGGGACGTCTAGGCGCGTTTTTGCACTGAGACATAAGCCCAAAAGACTTTTTTAAATTAAAACAAAATTTTCTAAACAAGTCCTTAATATAATACCAATATTCTGAAAAGTCAGCTTGTAATTATTTAAAAGTTTTAAAAAGAAAATGAAACATTAAATCTAAAAGTCAAAGCCTTTTTTTATATTGCTAGAAACCCTAATTTATGGTTTTTTCCAAATTTTTATTGTGTTCCCTAGTCTGCTGCTATCTTCCAAAAGCAATGAACAATCAAGTTTTTTTTTGTAGTAAATACAAAGAAAACTCCATTCTCCTCCGTAACAGCAAGTTCAAAGTCCAAATTTGCATGTTAGTCATTTTTTTTTGTTTTTTTATGTAAAAAAAATTATTCTTTTCAACTCAAGTTACTTGTGCTTTTAAGTATATAATAGATTATCTTGGCTAATTTTTTGTGGATATGAAGGTCATCTATATATTTTTCACTTATTTATAATTTTCTTTAATTTTTATGCAATTTTACCTATTTAAAAGTATGTACTGTAATTATATTATTTTATATAATATTAAAAATTAAATGCCCATAAGGGTTACGCCCCATGCCTTGAGGCTTATGCCTCGCTGAGGTATATGTAAAAAAAAAAAAAAAAACTGATTTTGCCTTTTAAATAACAGTAGCACCTATTCGAATTATACTGTATAACATGTGAATACATGAGCTACAAAGAATTGTTGGAATTTGACTTACGTTAATTCGTTATAGCCTGAAAGGATAGTACCGTGGCCAAAGTGGTGGATAAATAAAAGGCTTAATATTAAATATGTGTGTGTGGATAAGTGATGCCCAATAACTATTGGCCTGTGATGGGTAGGCACTCTTTATAAATAGAGGCCAAACCCCCCCCCCCCCTCCCCTCTTTCCCTAGTAATCTAGAAAACCCTAGCGTATTTTACCTCTTGAATACGTGGTAACGGTAGACCTCCCATCAGTCAAGTTCTCTGGGCTGTGAGAGCAAGTATCTAGTGGATCGTGGAAGTTGGTCTCAGGCTTAATCGTCGTTCGCTGTCGTTGTTGTATCTATAGAGTTTAACGGTACGCTTTCTTAAACTCTGACTCTAGATTGATTCCACAATTGTGTCTTAATCTCTTCTATGATTGCGATTTAATAATCTTACAGTTGGTATCAGAGCTACCATAATTAGGGATTAAGATCATGAATTAATTTTGGGTTTTAACGGAAAAGCGATTGTTGTGAACTTGGACGATGGTACGATACTCTTTTTCACCAAAGTTGTTCCATCACCGCACGTTGGTAACTGTTTTAGTCTAATGTATTAGAGGCGGCGGAGGAAACAAAATCTCTTTCTTTGTTAAAGGAATTCTAATTATGTGTGTGGCCTTTATGATAGGATTAAAATAAATTAATCCATAAGTTTTGGCTGGTGAAAGTCGATGGAGACAGAAGACAATATGATGATTTCTTTTGTCTTGTACATACTTCGTATCCTGGGGCATGTTCTTTATTATTATAATGTTCTTTTATTTTAAATTTATGGTTCAACGTTTGATTTACGGACATGGCTGTAGTATTTGTTATAGAAATTGTATGATCCCTAATCAAGGATCTTATTATTGCTGTCACTTTGATCATTCACTTTAGCGGCAGATCGTTTTGCCTTTCATTAAAGGGAAAAGAAATTGTTTATTTGTCTGCATGCTAGACGTAGCAGTTGACTATGTATCCTAAGGCTGTATGGTGGCCCGGGCCCGGGCCTAAATAGGCTAAACGGGCCGGGCTAAACGGGCCGGGCTTCGCGGTCCCGGGCTTCGCGGGCTCAACGGGTTGGACCAGCCCGTAACGGGCCTAAGCCCATATGGTCCTGGGCTAAATGGGCCGGGCTCGTGGGCTTAGCGGGCCTAACGGGCTTTTTTTTATTTTCGGGCTTTTTTTTAAAAAATTTTTTATTTAAGGCAATTTCTTGTAAACCATATGTGTATGTATATATATAAATTGCTCTTATGCATGGCTATATAAATATATGTGGTATATATAATATAGAAATCTAATTATTAAAGTATTTGACGAAAATGTAAAATAACAAATCAATAGTAAAACTAAATTGGCATGCATAATAAATTAATAACAAAGTACAACATGAAGCATAAATACGTCTAATAATTTTAAAATAACACAAATTGTTGAAAAATTTTAAAGACGAATTTGCGGATAAATACCGTCAACACAATACTTTATATGCCTCCTTAAAATGCCTGTATGACACCCTGAACGAAAATTTAAGACTCTTCCACAGTTCTTGCACTTTAATATTTGGCCTTCTTCATTTTCTTCAAGCACTTCATAGTATTGCGAAACAAATAAGCGCACTCTTTCCGAACGAGGCATGATTTAACTTGAAAATTGAGATTGAGACTTGAAGTCTTGAAAATTGGAGATTGAGAGATTGAGAGAAATTTAGATTGAGAAATGAGTATTGAGTATTGAAATGAAGAAGAGGGAGGGGGGTACTTATAGTGTTAGAGAAGGTTAGTTTTGTAAATTTAAAAAAAAACCGGCTAATTTGTGCAATTAATATGACCGTTGGTGG